CTTAGATAGATAGATAGATAGATAGATAGATAGATAGATAGATATTCATTACCGTAATGCACTGAAAGTAGAAAAAAGATTTAATAACCAGGAATTAATACAATTATCCCTGGCAGAATAGGGACATTATGCGTATAATCGATAAGCATTTAATATTGAAATGCACTGAAAATCCGATAGAAAAAAAAAGAATAACACAGTAGCCAATATCTTATTTGATACGAGAAATGGTCTCAATGTAGGGCCTTCAAATGGCCCCCTCTAAAGCAGTTAAAATATGAAGGAAAGGAGACAAGTCTTGGGAAGATCAACATTCCCGTCAATTGGGTTACCACTTTTGATCTCTCAAAGACTTTTCAGTAGACGAAAGTTATTCTCATAGACTGTATCAGTAACTAGATAGAAACCGAAAAAATGGTCATCAGAACAATTTCGAATTTAAGGTCCCAAAAATATTCTACGTCATAAAATGCTTCATTTCACCAAAGATAAACAAATATATTTCCCAATGTAGTGTACAGGCAACATATTCAACACCATAATGTGGTTTTCCTAAGAGAAACAAAAAGAGTGATATTGATAATGTTAATTGTAACCGTTTCTTTATAAGGCAACATTCAGCCTCCATTGAACGAACAGCCAATACTACTGCCGGTTGAAATTTATCAAATCTTTCTATTCAAATCAATTTTTCAGGAAAATGGGATCCTCAAATACAGTAACTGTTATCAATGTTTCCAGTAATGATGGGGGCTTCCTGACTAACCTTTTATTTGAAATAATGTGGAATGTCAACGTCATGAGTAAATTTTTATCTTCGATGTGCATGTGATATCCTTTTTATTTGCTGATGCTGTTGTAATCTCTCAAGGGATGTGGCATGAGTTATTTGGTACAACAATCTCTCTGTGATCCTGTAGCGCCAGTTCACGAGGTTCGATAGCGCTCACAAAACCTACATGCGTCATTCGCTGGAAGCCATTTTTAAGCCTCGATCTGAAAAAAGGCAAATCATTCCGCTGCTAACAGAATGATAAGGCTGATGTCAATATTAGCCGTTTCCTTATAAGGAAACATTCAACATTCAGTGCTTGAGCATCCAGTGACAGCTTCCGTTAAACTTTATAAAATCTTTCTATGAAAACAATTTTTTCAGGAAATAGGTTTTCCCATTATTTTAATCCCGGCATTGTTGGAGGCTCCTTTCCTAAATTTTTCTTTCAAATAGTGTTGAATGTCTACATTCAACGATTTATAGGTCATATTTAGATATCTTATTAATGTTCAAGTTATATTAAATATTTACAGTCATATTTAATAACCCACTCATATTTAATATTACAGACATATTAAATATTTACATTCCTATTTAATATTCCAGTATATTTAATATTCCAGATATATCAAATATTTACAGTCATATTTAATATTCCACTCATAATTAATATTACAGACGTATAAAATATTTACTATCATATTTAATATTCCACGCATATTTAATATTACGGACATATTAAATATTTACAGTAATATTTAATATTACAAATATATTAAATATTCAGTCATGTTTAATATTCCAGTCATATTTAACATTCCAATCATATTTAATATTACAGATATATTAAATATTTACAGTCATATTTAATATTCCATTAATATTTAATATTACAGACATATTAAATATTTACAGTCATATTTATTATTCCAGTCATATTAGATATTCAGTCCTATTCAATATTCCAGTCATATTTAATTTTCAAAGTCATTTTTAATACTAGTCGAATTATCCGCGCCTTACTGCGTGTCACACATTTTTTATAATAAAATGACGATTGATTTTAAATGATTGTTATAATTTGTGGAGAAAAATGATGTATTTCAATATTACTCAATGATCTTTCCGATGTGACCTCCATCTTCTGGCTTTCTCCTTTTATATTTTGGATAGGAGTCATTCCCTTGTTCAAATTTAAATTTAATTTAAATCAAAGGGGGAAAAATTTCGATCAAACTGAAAATATACTAATCCAGATACCCTGGGTAATGTAGTTTCAGAATGTATATGGTTATGGGTGTCTATCTCCAAACCCCTAGGAGTTCGAAAGCCGACAGAGGCTACAACTTTATATATAAATCCAAAGTCATATTAAATTTTTGTTTGAAGCAGTGTGGAATGTCAACATATTCAACAATTTACATAATTCCATGTCTTATTGATATTTCCATATCAATTTGAGTTGTTGCTGCTTCAAGTGATGTGCTTTCTGTTTTTTGTCACAGATCTTCCTTAGTGTTTTTGACGCCAGTCCACACGATTCAAATACGGTGAGCTCTCGTTAATATATATATATATATATATATATATATATATGGACATTTTCTAAAGAAAATTTATTGAAGTTAATGGATTGTTAGTGGTCCCGAAATAATAATAATTATTACCATCTTTTATAAATCTAACAAACACACACACTCTCCCTCCCTCTCTTTATTTCTCCCTCTCTCCATCTCTCTCTCTCCATCTCTCTCCCTCCTTCTCTTTCTCTCTCTTCCCCCACATGCAAACACTCACAGACAAAATTTGTTGATCCCTCATTCAATATTTTCTATTTATTTAATTTCCTTTATGAGGAAATTAAACTCTGAGGACCATCAACACGTTTTCTATTTTGATGTGAACTCATGAAAATCAATTACAAACACACTTACGATGATGTGAGATAATTACTAAAGGTTCAGTTATTAATTCCCGCGATACGAATAAGTTAAATTGTCCAATGAAGGGAAAATTTAAATTATAGGAAGAAAGTAATTTGAAAGTTAAGTTACAAATCATGACGAAATGGATTAATCAATAAGTGAAAACCTGAATTGGTTCATTGATCACCAGAAATTGTCTTAAGCTAGTGACTTTTGTAGATTCAACTAAGGACCATACGTTTGCGATGTTACCTGCGGGTGTTTATATTCTGTCATGTAACCTAGGTACACCTATGAAGATGACACACACACACACACACACACACACACACACACACACACACACACACACACACACACACTCACATATATATATATATATATATATATAAAACATTAGGCAGTATATAATTTACATTCAAAGAAATAATCACACATAGAATCAACCAGAAATATTAATGCGATTATTGGCGACATCCATCGCTCGTAGTATAATGTATGCATTAAAATACTGTTAATCCATAGAGTGAAGTGATCCTCGTCTATAAAATTGATGTCTGTTGTTTCCAGTTTATGTGTTCTTAAAATGCTAGTACTTACGAATAGTCTTCTATTCATCATCAGGCATGTGTTTTTTTTCCTTATAAAATCAAAACTTGAAGACGAAATAATTGTTCGTCGACCGAAAGATGTTTTTTGAATATCTGCTATTATTGACGGTTGTGTACGATCTCGGAATATTTCTGATTGATTCTATGTGTGATTATTTCTTTGCATATATATATGTATACATATATAGAGAGAATAGTCGGGTTTATTATATTCGGTTACGTGCAAAAACCCTTGGGTAAGGTATGAATCCATCTCCCCCTGCTATGGTTAAAACAACAAGATTTGTATCTGGAAAAACATTTGCTATTCTCAAAAAATGTTAATACAATATTTACTCGTCAAAAAAAAATATTCTTACAATTCAAAAATTGTTGTATAATAAATAAATAAAAGTTGTTGATAAGCACTAAAAGAGCAAATCAATCAGTCAGTTATTTTTCACAAAACCTGCCACTGTGAGGAACAGACCCTCGCGTAGGTGCTCCTCTGAACACCTTTTCAAGTCTGAGCATGTGGCCGAGTGGTTAGAACTTTCGCATTCTGACAACGAGACCCGGGTTCGAATCTCACCATCATCGATTTGTCAGGAAGGAGACTTCCTGATGTTATCGGTCGATCCCAGTGTTCGGCACCCTTAGAAAGTGCCTGAAAAACCCTTGTGAGTGAAAGAGTGAAATTGGGTTCCGTCTACCCAAGCGGTGAATTGATAGCTGTGCTAGCACGAATACACAAGTCATCGTGACCGAGGGCTTTAGCCTGCTGGCCTTGTTCAAATTGTTGATCACGCTTAGATAACATGCTCTTTCTCAGAAACTGTAACTGAAATCTGCTCAGCTTAGTTGCACTACAGGCTGACTCTGTGGGTGTTGAATAAGCACAAATGCGCCTGAGCAGGCGTCTGCAATAGGGATTGGCTATCCTCGAATACGACTGTCCAGCTATTACATATATACACATCTTTATCTGCATAATTTTATGTGGTACTCCTTTCGCTTGATTTCATATTACGCACCTCCACAGCATAGCCATTTTAACTGTAAACAACTGTCATGAGTTGCTTATTTTTTACGATATTTTTAGTCGATACAAAGCCTAAGTGTCACTACACACACGCCGGCTTACAAGGGCTCTGGTGAAAATCCAAGGAGCGTCTGCATCGGCAAGACCCAAGATTATCCCAAGAATCTTCTTCTCATAACAGGAAGAAGCCGGCTCAATCCGCATCACACACACACTAAGTGTCACTACCAGGTAAAGGGTTACTAAATGAAGTCGCTGTATAGATGAAGGAGGTGGGAAATGCAGATTATGCGGAAATTCAGGATAAGTAGCAGTTAACTCTGGACTTGAAGATTTTAGTTAAGATAGGTTAAGATTGTAGTAATCGAGGAGTCAGTTCCACAAAGTAGCAGCTCTTGGAAAGGAGCTTACTCCTTATGAATGGAATATAAAGACAATGAGGATGGTTCGCCCCTCTGTACATGGCGTCGCGAGCTTTATCTGTAAATATCCGAACTGATTTAATTTGATTTGATTTGTTTGTTTAACGGCATATCAACATGTTATGGGTCATTTAATGCCGAAATTTAATTTTCTTAGCAGATTTAAAGTAGTAAAAATAGGTATGTGTTATTCTGCTTTTACAGTTGAATATATAGTATTAGGTTGGTGTAAAAATAATGACGTAA